TTCAGTGTACATACTTGTCGACAAAAATCATAACTATTTCGCTAGAACTCCGTTTTTTCTATCGAATGAGTAAAAGAAACCACCCATTTACCGATTTCAGCTATCCAATACAGTGGTCAGAATTTAGCAATTTTGCCAGTTTCACACAAATTTCAAAAGATGCCAGTTTCCGAATAGGGTCCAGAATAAACAAGAAAGACATTCCTGGCACTAAGATAACATTTCCTCTGTTCATTAGTCACGTCCCCATGCCCCTCTTACATTCTTTTGCTTTCCACTTTGAATATTTATTCTCACAAAAAAATAGAAGATTTACTGTTATGCAGACTACTGCATTAGTGTAGAAATGGTATAAATAATATCAGCGCATTTGTGAAAGAATATTAGACTCACCAGTTGACGTGTATTGGACACACAGCATGATTTGTTTACTTTTGAACTTTGGTAAAAATTGAATATTTCTGCTACTTTGAGCTCAATTTCAAGGTACTTTTTTTTGTAAAACCAGTCAAAATCATCTCAATTTCTGTAATATGTCTATCATTCTATAAAATGAGACCAGGAAAATTAGAATACAACAATAAATACCATACGAAAATACAGTGCAAAGTCGCTGTTTTAATCCAAAAACAGTCTTTTTTTTTTTTTTTTTCTCATTACGCACTGTGTGCTGCAGGATTTTTTTATACCGTGCACACTGACCACATAGACCCATTCTTTCATATGTAGGCCTACCAGCTTTCTCTCGCTAGATTTGAGGGCACTAGAATTTAGGCGTACTAGTACATCAAAAACCCTGGTGTGTAAGCCACATTAGTACGGCCGAAACCCTGAAAGGGTTAAAAGTGAATACATGTACAGTGGATCCCCGGTTCGTGATATTAATCCGTTCCTGAGAGCTCATCGCAAACCAAAATTATCGGAAAGCGAATCAATTTTCCCGTAAGAAATAATGGAAATCAAATTAACCCATGCAAGACACCCAAAAGTATAAAAAAAACTTTTACCACATGAAATATTAAGTTTAATACAATAGAATAATTACAATAACAATAGAATAATAACAATAGAATAATTGACACTTGCCTTTAATGAAGATCTGGTGGTGATTGATGGGATGGGAGGAGGGGAATCCCCCTCCATTAGGACTTGAGGTAGCAAGTCCTTTTCCGGGGTTACTTCCCTTCTTCTTTTAATGCCACTAGGACCAGCTTGAGAGTCACTGGACTTCTGTCGCACAGCATATCTATCCATAGAGGCCTGTACCTCTCGTTCATTTATGACTTTCCTAAAGTGGTTCACAACATTGTCAGTGTAATAGCCACCAGCACGGCTTGCAATAGCTGTGTTAGGGTGATTTTCATCCATAAAGATTTGCAGTTCAACCTATTGTGCACACATTTCCTTAATTTTTGAAGTAGGCACAATGGATTCCACAACTTGCATAGGCTTCTCAGTGTTAGCCCCAAACCCTTCAAAATCTTTCTTAATTTCCATACTAATTCTCACCCTTTTTACCACAGGGTTGGCACTAGAAGCTTTCTTGGGGCCCATGGTGACTTATTTTGCAGAAACAAGCACCAAAAACAGTGATAATATGGATAATATGGAATGTACCGAATGTATCCTTAGATGCGCGCACACTGGCTGGCTTGTAAACACTGGCACACACGGGGCAGTTCAGGCCACACGTGGACATGTCTCGTACGAATCATATCGCATACCGGGTTTTGTAACGGGAACGGAGGCAAATTTTTTGCGATATAATGCATTGGATACCAGATTTATCGGATACCAATAGCATCGCGAACCGGGGGTCCACTGTATAGGAAAGAGTAAGGCGATGAGGATAAAAAGAATTAGGTAATGGAAGATTGGATATCAGATTGGAGGGAAAGGGTATGGAGGAGGTGAATATGTTCAGATATTTGGGAGTGGATGTCTCAGCAGATGGGTCTACGAAGGATGAGTTGAATCATAGAATTGATGAGCGGAAAAAGGTGAGTGATGCACTGAGGAGTCTGTGGAGACAAAGAACTTTATCCATGAAAGCAAAGAGGGGAATGTATGAGAGTATAGTTATACAATGCTCTTGTATGGGTGTTAGGCATGGGTGGTGAATGTTGCAACAAGGAGAAGGCAGTGGAGATGTCATGTTTGAGGGCAATGTGTGGTGTGAATATAATGCAGAGAATCCGTAGTTTGTAGATTACGAGGATGTGTGGGATTGCTAAAACTATTATCCAGAGGGCTGAGGAGGGGTTATTGAGATGGTTTGGACATGTGGAGAGAGTGGAATGAAATGGAATGACTTCAAGAGTATATAAATCTATAGTGGAGGGAAGTTAGGGTAGGGGTCGACTTAGGAAAGGTTGGAGGGAGTGGGTAAAGGAGGTTTTTTGTGCGAGGGGCTTCAACGTCCACCAAGCGTGCATGACCATGTTTGACAGGTGCGAATGGAGACAAATGGTTTTTAGGACTTGACATGCTGTTGGAGTGTATGCTAGGTAACATTTATGAAGGGATTCAGGGATGGACTTGATTCCTGGAGATGGGAAGTACAGTGCCAGCACTCTGAAGGAGCGGTGTTAATGTTGCAGTTTTATTACTGTAGTGTAAGCATGCCTCTGGCAAAACAGTGATGGAGTGAATGATGATGAAAGTTTTTCTTTTTCGGGCCACCCTGCCTCGGTGGGAAACGGCCAATGTGTTAAAAAATATATATACATGTATATTATATATATATGTATTTATATACATTGTATATATAAAGTAAATAAATAATGTTGTGACCTTCATTCAAAAGTAAATAAGAAATTAAACCTAAACGATAGTTAAATTTAAACAATTGGAAATACATACAAGCATAACCATATTTGACTATAGTCACCAACAACTGGTGGAACTCAGACATCATTTTACACTTTTCAATATGTATAGTATGTGTACATCATGGAATAAGTAAGTATTTCTTGTGCAGATTTTTATTTTTTAAACAAAGCATTGAAAATCTTACCTAGCCACATATTAAAAGTCTTTAAAAACTAACTTAACTACTACAAATTAAAAACAGCCATTATTTTTGGGCCTGAAGTATACCACTGAATGAATGCATGTGATATTATTGACATTCTGAATTCTTTTGTTTGTCAGGAGAAGTCTTCAATATTTTCCTACTAGTGAATATTTCTTCTTTACATAAATTTAGTCAAACTATTGGCAAATAATGACCTAAATCTAAATACATAATGTTGGATAATTCAGGGTTATATTTTAACGAACCACTGAACCTGCTGCCTGTATAATTCGCTGATGTTGGTGATTTGAAGTCTGATTTTGCATGGCATACTGTGCATAACCAGGGGCTTTCTGTAAAGAATATCAATAATGCCAACTTCCTATACCAATTGTATGTACTCTATTGTATTTTGTAGAAATAGATTTTGATTATTGTTATGGCACTGCTTGCCTCAGAATAGGATACTTTATTTGCATTATTGAATTGCTTAAAATTTCAGATAGTTTTTCGGATCTTGGATGTATCAGATTTATTTATTAGCTTAAAGGTTTGAAAGAAGCCTTGTAGCCTTCATTTTACCAGAAAAAGTCTGAGACCTGGTCACAGTTAGCAGATGGAGGATCAAGCATTCACCACTTTATATAAATTATGAAAAGAGTTGAGCAAAGGATTAAGCCCTGTGGAATTCCCTTCATTACATCTAAATTACAACTTGTTTAAGTGTGATATATGGGAGGAAGTGTACAGTAAAGCAAATGATAGCCTTGGATTGGGATGCCTTAACCCTTAAACTGTCCAAACGTACATCTACATTTGCACACGTAGCACTCTGACCTTGATTTTCTCCATAAGAAACAATGTAAAAAAAAAAGTAGATCTACGTTCGGAGCGCTGTGTGAGCAAACGTAGATCTACGTTTGGACAGTTTAAGAGTTAAACACGCTTACATCTGAGGTCCACTTCATGGCTTCAGTCTTCTTCCAGCAGTTACAGAATAGCATATAAAATATTGATGCATTCAACATAAGGTGCCAGATCAACTGGACTAACAAGTTTGTGGGTTTGCAGAAGATACACAAGTAACAATAGCTTAGTTGATCAGCCAGCAGAAAAACAAAACTATTCACAGGTATGCCAGCCATTCGGATTAACATCTAGTTCACTAGGTGTTAATCTGGTCTTGAAGTTCTTCTCCAGTACCATGTATACCTTTATTTGGGCCAGCAGTCTTCATTGAGGTACTATGTTGATGTCCATAGAATTGACAATATAGGTGCAGTATGCTACTTATTCTACACTCAAAATTGTCCATTTCTATAGGAATTAACTATGATTTTCCCAAGTAGATACATCTCTCTATCTATCCATCTATCTATCTATCTGTCTATATCTCTCTCTCTCTCTCTCTCTTTATCTATATATCTATCTATATCTACTCTCTCTCTCTCTCTCTCTCTCTCTCTCTCTCTCTCTCTCTCTCTCTCTCTCTCTCTCTCTCTCTCTCTCTCTCTCTCACTCTTTATCTATGTATCTATCTCTCTCTTTATCTCTGTCTCTCTATCTCTGTCTCTCTACCTCTCTCTCTCTGTTTCTCTCTCTCTGTCTCTCTCTCTCTGTCTGTCTCTCGTCTCTGTCTCTCTGTCTCTGTCTCTCTCTGTCTCTGTGTCTCTGTCTCTCTCTCTCTGCTCTTCTCTCTTCTCTCTCTGTTCTCTCTCTCTCTCTTCTCTCTCTCTCTCTCTTGTTTCTCTCTCTGTCTCTCTCTCTCTCTGTCTCTGTCTCTCTCTCTCTGTCTCTCTCTCTCTCTCTCTCTCTCTCTGTCTCTCTCTCTCTGTCTCTCTCTCTCTCTCTCTCTCTCTCTCTCTCTCTCTCTCTCTCTCTCTCTCTCTCTCTCTCTCAGTTACAGTATTTAACAGAAGATAGGGCTTCATCCCTTTTTTGTCCTCAGCAATTTGTTAATGTCTTAAGTACGTATCTTTTTCAGAATTCGAGTGTAATTCTAATCGTTGGGCTATGCATAGAGATGAAAAATTTGATAAAGACTACTCAGATTTGGATCATAAAGACAAAGAAGACTGTGATCTGGCTATGAAATCAGAAAAATCCATCATTGCTGTGGAAGAGACAGATGAGATTTCCCAGTGTGATGAAGACGACGACGACGACGAAGATGAAGAGTGTGGTGACGATCTTGAAGAAAGTGATGTAAGTTGTTTATCAGACATTATATTCCTTATACTATACCTGTTATGTAGTAGGACCTCCATAACTGGTTCCTTCTTTATCTACATACTGTTTTTGTTTTTTCCTTATGTTGCAAAGAATCTTTATTTTTATGATGTTTCACGTACTTGGGGCTTTATCAGTAATACAAGGAATTCACAAAATTAGCAATATATACAGTGATATACCTATTTGAATGCTTTTATAAACCTTTTTGACATTCCTGTGTGGAAGTTTTCACATTTTGTTGTGTCATGACAGATACATAGATATGGCTGTATTATGACTGATTATGTTATAAAGATGCACGTAGCAAAGAAAGACCCTTTTATTTTTATGGTGTTTTATTCACTTAGGGTGCTTTATCAAATCCAGGGAATACACAGAATTAGCAGTATTGTATATAAAGTAATGGTCAGGAGATGCCATGGGAGGTGAAGTCTGGATCCAAAGGTTAGATGATGTTGGAGTGAAGTTGAGATCTGGATGTTAGGGAGCAGTAATTTTTATTTTTTTATTTTTATTATCACACTGGCGATTCCCACCGTGATAATAAAAATAAAAAAATAAAAATTACTGCTCCGTAACATCCAGATCTCAACTTCACTCCAACATCATCTAACCTTTGGATCCAGACTTCACCTCCCATGGCATCTCCTGACCATTACTTTATATACAATACTGCTAATTCTGTGTATTCCCTGGATTTGATAAAGCAGTAATATATACAGTATTCGTTTTTGACCATGCAGTTACATTACCAGTATTTAGATGATGAAAGAAAAAGCAAACATCAAAACTAAAAGACTACATCGTCAGTAACCTGATAGTCAAAAATATAAATGAAATACATATTGAAAGTGTTTCTTTTTCGGGTCACCTTGCCTCAGTGAGAGACGGCCATCCTGTTAAAAAATACAGGTACCATCCAACTTATGACCGAGCTTGGTTCAGACCAACCAGTTGTAAGTCAGAATGAACGTAAGTCAAACCTTAGAAAATTGCCGATAGGGATAGTAGTAGTTATGCATGTGGAAAAGTCAGTTGGTACATGAGAAAGAAAGGTTACAAAAGCGATGGCTTGGGTAGCATAAAAAAATAGGTTGGGTAAATGTAGAAAGGAGGAACACTGCAGCAGGCCTGTTGGCCCAAACTGGGCATGTCCTGTATATACAGGTCTCCCTGAGCATTCACGTTTTCAACTTTCACGGGCTTCACACATTCGCGAATTCCCAACCGCCAAATTCCCAGCCGCCAAATCATATTTAAGTTTCCCGCCACCTGCGAGTCCCTACTACCCTCCCTCTGACCCCCGCAACTGGCAGCCAGCCCTCCCACCACTCAGTGTGGTGAGTGTTTTGTTTGTTCATTATTTGCTATTAAACTACAGTATAAATAATGTAAACCCATTCATGACTGCATATTGGAATGGCTATTCGGACAGGTATTAGACGGTGACATCATGTGTTTACTCTTGAACACTGCAAAGAATTAAACATTTCTGCTACAGCTAATAATAACAATAGTAATAATAATAATAATAATAATAAATATGATATAATTGAAGAAGGAAATTGTACAAAAATACGAGGGAGTGTTGAACACATCGTCAGTGTGACTTTGTTTATGCTGGAGTGAACATTAGTCTCCCTGCTCTTCCAAACATTTCACAATAATTCATTGTGTTTGGTGCTTGTAGATTGAGTGTGACTGGAGTGATAGAGGCAGTGATTGAGGCAATGGTATTTAATAACATACATGTTAATAATAATACATGTTATTAATAATAACATGTACTATTATTATTTATAACATATATGTTATAATACCACTGCCTCAACCGCTGAATTATTGTGAAATGTTTGGAAGAGCAGGGAGACTAATGTTCACTCCAGCATAAACAAAGTCACACTGACGATGTGTCAACCACTCCCTCGTATTTTTGTACAATTTCCTTCTTCAATTATATCGTATTTATTATTATTATTATTATTATTATTATTATTATTATTATTATTATTATTATTATTACTATTGTTATTATTAGCAATAGCAGAAATGTTCGATTCTTTGCTGTGTTCAAGAGTAAACACATGATGTCACTGTCTAATACCTTTCCTAATAGCCATTCCAATATGCAGTCATGAATGGGTTTACATTATTTATTTTGTAGTTTAATAGCAAATAATGAACAAACAAAACACTCACCACACTGAGTGGTGGGAGGGCTGGCTGCCAGTTGCGGGGGTCGGAGGGAGGGTAGTAGGGACTCGCAGTGGTGGAGTCTGTGGTATTTAATAACATACATGTTATTAAATAACATACGTTATTAAAGCATAACATGTACAGTGGACCCCCGGTTAACGATATTTTTTCACTCCAGAAGTATGTTCAGGTGCCAGTACTGACCGAATTTGTTCCCATAAGGAATATTGTGAAGTCGATTAGTCCATTTCAGACCCCCAAACATACACATACAAACGCACTTGCATAAATACACTTACATAATTGGTCGCATTCGGAGGTGATCGTTATGCGGGGTCCACTGTATATATTTAGTACAATTTACGACGTTTTCATGTATTTTATGATTATTCATGATTCAACAAGTTAAGGAAGCAGTATTGTAATATATTTCCCTACAATATATTGGGGCACCAAACATTCACAGTTTTTCAACATTCGCGAGGCTCTTGATCCCCTAACCCTCGCGAATGTTGAGGGAGACCTGTACTAGCAATTATGTGAGGCAAGGTTTACTGTTTTCAGGAGGATTCTCACTAAGACTTCAGAGATGATGAAGCTGCCTTTGTTTTGTTTAACTGTGTTAGAAATGGCAATTAATGCTGAAGAAGTGTGTGTGATCACTGTTTTTGCAGAGGTGCTCAGAATACAACAGCTTAGAAGCATATATGTATAAAGATATACAACATATCCCTCCAATAACTTTAAAACACTTGAAATTTTGGAAAATTTTCTGGACATAATAGAGAGATGTGCTCACAGAGAATGTAAACTAACCGGGTGGGGCGCACCGTATTAGAAAGACCGCTCGCCATATAGCAAGTTTTGGTCACAGTTTGAAATCGCCATATTAGTGGAACACTGTAAGGCAAAATGCCGTAAATTGGGGCACTGCTGTACCTATATTGTACAGATAAGTTGATAATTTGGCCAATTCTTCACAAAATTTAAAAAAAAAAAATATTCCAAAATAAACACTAGGCTTTCCAGGTAATCACATTCTAAGACTTCTATATAACACTTGCCCTCCATTTTGAATCCATCAAAAAATTGAAGTCTTATTATTTCCTGGACATTTTTTCTCAACAGATGTCCCCAAAACCCCAAAATATGCCTTTGACTTATGTAAGAGATGATATATTCTCAGCCATAAATCAGCCCTAGCCTTGACTTAAAGGTATACTTACACTGCCCTCCATCCTCATATTTTTTTTTTCATTAAAAACTGTATATTAATAAAAAAATTTGGATCTTACAAGGCTTGAGGCTCCTCAGATACAAACATAGTTACCATATTTTGTTGGTGTCTAATAGGAAGCTCAGTTATTTAGCTTCAGTATTTTACTTCATAGCTGTATTTTAATATGTATTTTATCACAAAATTTGAAAAGTATAGTATACCATATATACTTTATAATGTTTACAGGAATAGAATGTTTTGGAAACTCAACAAACTCCACTACTCAAACTGAAAGCACAGTCCTTTAATGAAATGAACATTGGTGATGTCGCAGTTGGTGGCTAATATGAATTGGGATATCGCCACACTTCTGAAAAGATAGTATTGAATGAATGATGATGGATGTGTTTTCTTTGGGTAACCCCTCACTCAAGAGATGGCTGTTGAAATCATTAAAAATGCCATAATTTTATACAAATTTAAAATGTTGCATATACATGTACCTAAAACACAGCATTGCGAGACAGGCATAAACTGTATTGTATACCCAAGTAATGGATGGTTATATCTTATTTTTATTTATTACAATAAGTGTCAGGGGCCCGAGACTGTTCAACTGCCTCCCAGCACACATAAGGGGGATTACCAACAGACCCCTGGCAGTCTTCAAGCTGGCACTGGACAAGCACCTAAAGTCAGTTCCTGATCAGCCGGGCTGTGGCTCGTACGTTGGTTTGCGTGCAGCCAGCAGCAACAGCCTGGTTGATCAGGCGCTGATCCACCAGGAGGCCTGGTCACAGACCGGGCCGCGGGGGCGTTGACCCCCGAAACTCTCTCCAGGTAAACTCCAGGTAAACACTGGCCGATTCCCACCAAGGCAGGGTGGCCCGAAAAAGAAAAACTTTCACCATCATTCACTCCGTCACTTTCTTGCCAGAAGGGTGCTTTACACTACAGTTTTTAAACTGCAACGTTAACACCCCTCCTTATATCTATAATCCTATTTTATTTTTTCAGAATTATTTTAAATCCTGTAAAGGAAAAGGTAAAGTAAATTCTGTAACGGTAATGTTTCAGGTGGACTCTGAGGCCCCTGATACAGAAATGAATCTTTCTATATTTCAGAACCTGTTTTCTTTCAGCATCATATACTATATATATATATATTTTTATGTAATGGCTGTTCATTTTTATTGCTGAATAGTAAATGATAAAAGTTTTTCTCATAAGCAGAATGAGAATCTGATGGTGGAGGTTGAAGACTTAAAGGAGGACTTACAGAGAGAGCGGGAGCAAAACCAGCATCTAAATGACAAGTTATTTCAAGTCAAATCTCACTTCAAAAGTGAGGTTAATAAGCTCAAGCAACAGTTGGGTGACCTCCGAGAGGCTAATGTGGTATGGCTAGCAAACCCCTTATTTATTTGTATATACAGTATCTACTTGAGTTATGTTGTTTTTCTAATATGTAAGGTGGTAAACTCAGGTTGCATAAATTACTCAGGAAATTTAAAGTTTTATATTTTCTGTCAGATGTTTAAACACATGTCAGTGTATTTGATTCTTTCAGGAAAACAAAACAGTGTCACGTCATACAAAATGAAACAGTATTGATCATCACACAGGAAATGGAAATATTCAACTCTTTTTAAATGCTGAGTACAGCATTGAACATTAAAATGGTATAAAATACCGACAGGTTGTTAGGTAAGACACATATGCAACAGTTAGGTATCTTTATTACGAAACGTTTCGCCTACACAGTAGGCTTCTTCAGTCGAGTACAGAAAAGTTGATAGAAGCAGAAGAGACTTGAAGACGATGTAATCAGTCCATCACCCTTAAAGTTTTGAGGTGGTCAGTCCCTCAGTCTGGAGAAGAGCATTGTTCCGAAGATACCTAACTGTTGCATATGTGTCTTACCTAACGAGTACAGCATTGTTGGGAAAAAAATGTACTCTCTAGTTTTGTTTTCCTGAACTCTAATGAAAGGGTGATTGCTACATGCAGCAGCTTAAAATGTTGACATACTATATATAAACCAAGTATAAATAAGAAGGTTAGTAGTAGGGTTGGTTACACAATTCTATCAGGAGGTACTAGTCCGAAGGGGATGAAAACAAGCCTTTTATTATGTTTATAAATTTTAGAATGCTATTCTTTTGTTTTTTGTTTCAATACTATATTCGATTAAACAAAGTGTACTAAAATTATACTTACAAAAAATGGCTTTAATATACACATTTCATCTATCAATTTTATGCTTCAAAACACAGTATTTCTTAAAATTTTGTCTTAATAGTTTCTTGCTTAAATTTTACTTTATATCCATGGGTAAATAATACTAATTTTTCTCTGGTATCATTTTATTTCGTGCTGTAAAAGTCAACTAAAATATAATATGAAACAGTAACCCCTTTATTTGCAAAATTACTTAAAAAATTGGAGAAAATCTTTTATTTTTCACCCTGCCTGGTAGGAGATGGCCGAATTAGAAAAAAAAAAGAAAAAGAAAAAAAAAATAATTGTAGAAGGTACACAGTTTAGATTTTTTTCACAGTTTTTGCTGGGGCAGGGGAGAATTCCCAATTTTCTTTCCCCTTTTACTTTCATTAAGCTTTATGAATTGTATAGAATGACCATTCAATTATAATGAATTTTTTTTTTCAGGGAATTAACTAGAAAAGTTTAAACAAGAGTGGTACTAAAATTCATTGTCAGTATTCCTTGCAAATAAAAGCTTTTAAAGTAAAAACACAGTTATAATTTTCAATTTTATATGCAATTCAAAAAAAAACTTTAAAATATTTTCTAAATAATTTGTAAATAATTTACTTTTAAATTTGAATTAAAGCTGTTTTATTTATTTATAAAACTAAATTTTTCCTTCTGATAATCAATTAATTAAATTCTTGCTGAAAATGTTGAACATTATAAATACAATTTGAAAACTGCAAATCCCTCTTGTACATTGAGTGCATTTTGCTATAAAACTTTGCTGATAATTATTTTTTTTTTCAGTATTGAAAAATTGCCTACTGAGCAAAAATGGTATCAACGATTGTTAGAAAGGAATAATTGGGCAAAAAGTAATATAATTGTTTTGGGTATTGAGCATTTATGATGGCTGTTTTAGAAATGCACCTGCATATTTTCTTTGCTGGGTAGGTCACTATCCGCTAGCTCTGCCTCTTCAGCTTTCATTGACCAGCTTTACTGATTTTTGGCCTCTAGAGACCATTCACAATTACTAATGAATTTAATATTTTACAGGAATTAGAAGCTGAGAAGCAGAGTCTGGTAGCGCAACGAGAGAGCGAGTCTAGAAAATTCAAGTCAGATATGTCCCGTATGCAAGATGAGGTAAAGACTTTCCAAAGTAAAAACCAATCACTTGAGCTGAAGTATGAACGGTGTAATGACAAATTCAATGAACTTCAAGGCAAACTTGTGGAGGAACAGTGAGTTTTGATTTATATTCATTTGTATTACAGTATTTTACTTTTAGATGGGAGTGAAAAGCAGTTATATTTATTTAGGGGTAAATTCTATTCAATTTCCTGTCCGTTCTAATAATCAGAGTGTAAAGTTAGAAATTCTAAAAATTAGACTAAAGAAAAGTGTTGAGATTGTGAAATACAGATTTGAATAAGATCTCGCAAATTGTCCACTATTGCTCACATGGTGCGTTTTGCTATAAAACTGCAGTAAGCTGGATTTTATTTATTTTGTTTTTTTGTATTGTTATTGCTACCTGGAGGGTATTCGGGGTATCAACGCCCCCATGGCCTGGTCCACGACCAGGCCTCCCTATAATGACTATAATGGTCTTTCATT